ATAATTACTAATTTATCAGCCTCTTCAAATATACTTCTATGTGGCATACAAAAGGTGAATAAGAAGTAATATAATGTAATTAAAAGAAGGCTACCCTTAGAGTCATAAACAGCTGGGCTAAAGACCTACATCTCATACAAATTAGCTGTGTGCCCACAGGAAAGCCACATAACCTCTCAGCAGACAATTCAACTCCCTAACAGGATTTATCAAGGTTTGGGTTTTTTTGTTTTGGTTTGGTTTGGTTTTTTGCTTTCAGTACAGTATTTTTTACGTGAAGATGCTGAATGATTAAACTGGCAATAAAGAAGGGCTCCCAAGCAGTCAGACCTCCAGATTCATTATGTGGGACTTGGGATTCTTTTGCTTTTCCTTTCCTTCACCTTCTCTGTACCACCACCAGCAGACCTGCTGACCTTACCAACACCTAGTGGGAAAAGTAGGATGCAATCTGCAGCAGAAGACAGGGAATGGAGAATGTGGAAGTCTAATCAGGAAAAGGCATGCTGAGACACACCCTTTGAGAACCACAGCTTTATCTCTAAGATTCAAATGAACTGCTGATATGCCTCAGAAGAGGGAGTTTTCACACTTTGAGTTTCTTGTATAAATGAAATCACAGGTCTAGGGGGAAAAAACAGCTAGATGTTATTATATCCAGCTATATATTCATACAAATGGCAAGAAAATAAATGATTCAGAGCTCTGGCATCTATAACAGAACCAGCACTTAATAAAATAATAATAAAAGGCAAGCCTTTGAGTCCATGTGCCTCTGTCATATATTTCAGCTATAAAATCACTAGTGAACAATGCTTTAAGGAAACCTATATTTCAATTTTTCCATATTTACCTATTTAAGCATTAAGAAGATTAACATAATTATTATTATTCATCTCTACCTTAAATGAAAATGAAATACACAAAAATTACTTAATTCTGTTTTGTGTTGTATTTTCTAATGAACTCAAAGATATTATTTCTATGAGGTTATTAGGAAAGCAAAGCCTCTGATGATCTACACCTCTGGAGACAACAGACTATTCAATGAGAACACAGATTAATGAAAATAGCAAATCACTGTGCTAGACTCTAGGGTTTAATATGAAGATTCAACAAAGACCCTGCTGTCAAAGGGCCTGCTATCTAACAGAAGGAGGTATACATACAAAACCATGGCATATGAGAGATAAAGCAAAGTGTGGTATTTAGGTAAGCATTATTAAGCAGACAGAAATACAGAACTAGAATTCTGAGGAGAGGTTGGGGAAAAGCATAAAGAATGAGAAGTCATTCGCATAGAGGAGGTAATTTAAGCCATTCTGGTGGGTTCAACAAGGAAAGAAAATGTAGGGTGACAAGCAAAGAGGATCTATGGCACAACCACAGGGTTTATTTACACTTAAAGGAGAAGACAAGGGTTACAGAGTCAGTAAACAATGAGGAATAATCAAAAACAGGAAAAAGTAAAGTGTTATCCAAGCGAAAAGAGGTATCAAAGCTGAAGTGGTCACAAAAAGGATGAACACGGACAAAACCATTAGATACCACAATGAAGAAACCATTACTGATCTTGAAGAAGATAGTTTCTGTAGAGTAGTGAGAACAGAAGCCAAATTACAACAGACTAACAAGTGCAGAGGAATAAAGAGAAGTGACTAAGCAATGATAAGCGGAAAAAAGGAAGGCAGCCTGGGGCAGGAGGTGCAAAGCTCAAAGGGAAGCTATCTTGTTTTGGGTTGGTAGAGTTTTGTCTTCACTGGACTAGACACAGGACTGGAAGGCCTATGCACGTTTTTAAACTAAGAGTAAAAAGTAATTTCCCATTAGACTTTTTTTCCAAAGATAAAATGAGAAGACTGGACTAGATTATCTGGTCTCTTTCAACTCTAAGTCCTATGATTTATTATTTCTTATTTGTTCACTATATGGAATATATAAATAACAATGTTTTCAACAGATTTATTCAGTAGCCATTTATTAAGTATCCACTGTGTACAGACATATTTCTTCTCATGTCTATATCTCAAAATCTATTTAGAGGCACTGTATTCAGAAATACATAAGTGTCACTCAAAATGTGAAAATTAATTTCATCCTTTCTTAAGAGATTTATATGTCATAATTCTAAGAATAATCTTATAAAATATTCCATGTTTTAAAATCACGGTTATTTGATGCTCCAAGAAAGAGGAAATAAAAATAAAAGTGTAAAATTTATTCTCACTGCATGATTTAACTGATATTACATGAAAACATAATTTACATTTTCATAATCTATATTGCCAACTCATCCCCTGAGGTTTTCTACTTCTATAAGTATTATTCTAAAAGATAATGATTAAAAAATAATAATGAAAAACAAAATTAGTACTCAAAGACCAAGAAACAAGTCACGCTATAGTAACAAGCCAGTAAGGTAACTTTAAAATACACCATTCCAAATACAGAAGACTATAATAAAATATGCCTTTTGATAAAGATGTTAAACCCATACTCACATAGCAGATCTGAAGCATAGCATTAGTTTTGTCAAGGAATAAGCCTTCCTTAAATCTTGGCTAATTTGGTAAGCTATATCATATAAGACTTTATTAACAAAGACTTGTATAATAATTGTTCTCATCTTAAGTTGAGCTTTTAAGATTAGTGTCTAAAAATTAAAACAGGAGATATTTCTTTCTGCAGAAAGAAAACAGAAAAATTGAGATATTCGGTGTTGTGGATTTCATATTGATATAATTCAGTTCCACAGTAAAAGATATTAGCATACATTTTAATTAAATTTTGTACTGAAATTAAAAGCTTCAGAAGCAACTATATAAATATAAGGGACAGAATTCTTTGAAATATTTCAACGCATGAATAATACTGAACCATTTTAATGATATCTATGCAATGACTAAGAAAACTGTGATTAAAGTAATTTCATTAGTCCAAAATGAAAGATAAAAGTGGCTTAAGCTCAGAGTGCATGCTAAGTATAATGTAATATGGCATCTAAGATTTTCAAAATTAAATTCGATAATCATTTATGAAACAAACGCCTATTTGATAAAAAGATATTTAACATCTACTCTTCCTTCTCCCCCATAGTCTATGATTCAGTGATACCTGCTATTCCTAGCACAAAACAATCCATCTCTTGACTCCATGAATGTTCACTGACTGTTCCCCATGCCCAGAATTCTCTCCTTCCTCATCTCCCCTTCCTCACTTCCTTCCTGTCCAAGCTAAAATTCCACCACCTACTACAAAAGAAGCTATTCCTGATCCTCCTTATTGCTAGCCCCTTCTCTCTGTTGATGACCTCCAATTTATCCTGTACGTATCTTGCTTGAACATTGTTGTTTTCATGTTACCTTTCTCCAAAATGGGACTTGGGGATGGGGCAGTTTCAGGGGGGTATTTCAGCATTTGGCACAGTGCCTGGCACATAGTTGGTGCTTAATAAATGTTTATTAACTGAGTATTGTATAGAAGGCAATATTCTAGCCTTTCCCACAACTAGACCAACCACCTGGACTCATATCTGAAAATGTAAAAATATTTCTTTTCCTGTCAGTTACATACAGATATATGTACATATAGATATGTTACATATAAATAGCCAACAATATAGATAAATCTATCTATCCACAGAATGTAAGTTTTTTGACATAAGACAATTTAGAAGGAAAAGAGGGAGAGAATAAGTAGTGATAAAGCACTGAAGGGAGAACTTACTATTGGAGTAGTCCTCAAACAGAATAGACTGCCTCAGGAGATAAGAGATTGTTTCACTACTGATCACCAGTTAGGGATGCTGTGCAGTGACTTCAACTTTGAGGCAGAGGTATAACTGAATGACCTCTGAAGCTCATTCCAGTTCTAAAATTCTATGATTCTTTTCCCCACTTAAAAAAAGAATAATCTTAATCTAAAACAATAACCATTGTTTTCATATGAAAGATGCACCTTTACATCTATATAAAGTTGTCTGAACTCATTATGCATACATTCTAAGGATCATAACATTTACACAAATGTTCTTAGGGTTATGCCATCATGCTGTTGATACTGCTAAAAGCTCAAAAATCAAAGTTTACTGAAAGAGGCTTGTAATGAAGGTAAAATAAAAAAAGTAGTTCATGTATTCACTGACACAAACCTACAATTCTTCACAAAAACATTTAGCATACTAAACACACCAAAAAAAAAATCACAATCAAAAGTCTCTTACCAATTTCAGCAGGTAGTTGTTTGATTTTGTTTTCCCGAATGCTAAGCATGATAAGTTTTGATAAATTTTTGATATCCTTTTCCACAGTAGTGATTCGATTAAAACGAAGGTAAAGAGTGGTGAGAGAATCTAGCCTATACACCACTGAGGGAATTTCTCTCAGTTTGTTATGCCGTAAGTCAAGCATACGAAGCTTCTTCAAGTTATCAAGAGAGTCAGGCAAACTGGTCAGTGAGTTCTCACTCAGTGCCAGTGTTACGAGATTCACTAAACAGCCTACCTCTGCTGGGAGAGACTGTAATTTGTTACTGTATAAATAAAGTTCTGTTAGCTGTGTCAATTCTTTGACTGATGAAGGAAGCATGTGTATAGATCTCTTGGATAAGTCCAATCGCATTGAATTCTCTTCCCGGCATTTGTTTAGCTCTTTAATCACTTCAGCATTGCTAGATTTTTTTCGAGTCCCAGGAGCTGGATTGGGGCGTTTGATAGTATTGTCCACAGAAAAAGCCACACCTGGCTGCACAGCACTGGAGTCTTTTTTTCCATCTTTGGCATCTTTCCCTTTGGTCTTAGGTTCCTTTTCTTTGCTCTCTTTTCCAAAACCTCCAGAAGCCTTTGCCTCCTTTTCTCTCTCCTTGGCTGATGGCACTTTAGGGTCTTTCTCTTTACAGTCTTTTTCTTTTCCTAGACTGCTACTCATGATGACCCACGCTAGAGCAAGCACTACATGAACTTCTTTTATTTTGTTTACAACAACAAACTGAATTTAGGCTGAAGGTACAGGGATCCAACAGAGTCAAAAATGTTGGTCTGAAGTAACAACTTGTATAAAGTGACATCCATCTGCTGTTACATGTTGGTTCTGAAGGCACTGTACCCAAACTTGATAACACATTCCAACTAGTAAAAAGGTGAAGGTCAAAGGCTCATTAGAATTCCTGTAATGTAATACAAAAAGAGTCAATGTTAGATTATTTTAAAATATATATGATTTGTATCAAGTACTTGTGCCTGAAAACATGATGACCTCAGAAAGACCTTCCCACTTAACTTCACAGGAGGGCTCCATCTGTCCTAAAACACTACTTCATCTTACCTAATATAGGTCCAATAATTAAATTAAAAACCTTATAGAATATGTAGATTTGTATCTATCTACATAGCAGTCAACCCAGGAAGCTTTTATGTTTGCAAATAAATGTTTGCTCTCCACAAGGTTCAAGAGAAGAGAACCTGTATCTTGGCTACGTGCTGGGGAAAATACAAAGTTTAAGACATGATTCCAGTTCTCATGGAAATTAATAATAAAAACTTAAATTTATATAGAGCTTTAAGACTTACAAAGTATATTAGCTAGCCACTTACTGACAATAATCTGTTTAGCTCAACAGATCCCAAGAGAATCAAAAAAGGAGGCAGCATGGTGTGAAAAGAGGGCTGGATTTGAAGAGACCTGGGTCTGAATCTCAGTTCTGACCATTAATAGCTGAATGACCTTGGGCAAGTCACTTAACCTCTCTGAGCATCAGTTTTCTCATCTGTAAAAGAGACAACTGTTTATAAAAGTCAAGTGAAATTCAAAGCTGAAAGACACTACATAATCAAAAACACGGTCCATAACAAACCCTTATGTTCCCTGCCTCACAGGGCTGTTACGGGAAAAGAACTTGACAAAACTGAAAATGCTCCATAAGCATGACACATTATGTGAGAGTGAAGAGCATGGCCAGGAAGCAGTGCCTGTCCTCTCTGGAATCAGTCACCTGGCTCCCCTTAATCCTTGGGTGCTTAACCCAGGGTTACTAAATTTGTTTTTTAAAATATTTTTTTTCTGATAACTAGTTCACTATAATTGGCTTCCATGACAATCCTATATATTTTATTATGCCTTCAAAAACATCATTCTGAAAAGGGGTCAATAGGTTCCACCAAACTGACAAAACAGCAAAGGTTAAGAATCTCTTCCCCCTTAAAAACAGCAAGAAGCTTGTCAACACAGTGTCCTAGAGATAAAAGTAAATAAAACAGCATATTCTAGGGCATCAATAACCCTAGATTGTAATCTTGACTCTAACACAATCTTACTAAGCCAGTTCCTCACTCAGAACCTTAGTTTCCCCCATTTGTGGAATACGGGAGTTGAACTAATGGACCTAAGACCCTTACCATCTTTGATATTCTGTGGAATTTATGGTTAATGGACTATAAATGATTATAGATTTGAACCTGGGTAACAAAGAAAGGGATGATATTAATGATGCAAATAGGGAGCTCAAAGGGCTAGGAGGATAAATAAGTATGGATGTAATCAAAAGAACTAAAAGGAAAGTAGTAATAATATGATCTAGACTTTCTAGAACTATCCCACATTTAAAAATTATTGTGATAGGGAAGAGACGACAATAGTAAAAAACTTTTATCATACTATCTATCCCAATATGGAATTCAGAAAATATGGACACCTATTTCAGTGAAAGGATCCAGAACTCAAAGCAGCAATACAGGATGATTATGTTTGTCTGACTACAGAGTATAGAACTCTGTGGTACAGAATAGAAACTGCAAGAAGGCAAAGTTAGGTTCAATGAGGGCTGTTTTCATAACCTTTTGATATTTTTTTACCTTTTATCCCTAAAAATGAATTTTATTATTTTGTCAAATTCTTTAAAATATCTCATTGATAATTTGATTGGTATAGTAATAAATCTGTATAGCAATTTGAACAGCATAGTAATTTTTACTATATTGCTAAGGCCTAATCATGAACATGGAATATATCTCCATTACTTTTCTTCCTTTATTTCTATTTTTTAAAAGCTGTTTTATAGTTATATTTATATAAATTAAGATTGTTTTGCCTCCTAATTTATTTTTCCTATTTTTGTTGCTATAGCTAGTATTTTAATACTGGAGGCAGTGATTATTTCACTCCTGAACTTTATGAGAAAGCCAGTGATCCCAAGAAACAAAGGTGAGGAAGGAGAACATTGCACTCATGGGGGAGAGCAAGTAACTGGACAAAAAGATGAAAGATGGAGCAGTCTGCATGACACAGAGCAAACAGGTCAATATAGCTATACCCCAGAATAAGTGGAAGGGACAATTACATAGGGAGACTGAAGGGATCAAGCTGTGAAAAGCTTTAAATATCAAAGATAGGAGTTTCTATTTCATCCCAGAGTTAATAGGGAGCCACTAGAGTGAACTGAGCAGTAACAGGGTCAGATCTACACTCTAAGAAAATCACTTTGGTATAGCTTTATGAAAAATACATGGGAGAGACTTAAGACAAATAGACCAATTAGGTGACCAATTATTGTAGTGGTCCAGGCATGAGGTGATAAGAACCAGAAGCAGGGTGGTGGCTGGATAAGTTAAGAAAAAGGGACATATGTTAAAATTGTGGCGATGAAATGACACAATATGTCAACTAATTAGATTTTTGGATAAGTGAAAAAAAGGAGTAGATGATGACACCAAGGATGAGAACCTGGGTGACTTAAAGGAAGGTAGTGCTCCTGACAACACTAAGTAATTTTGGGGAGAGAAAAGATCTGTTTTGGACAAGTGGAGTTTGAGATACGCCTCCAAGGAATCTGGTTTTAGATGTCCAATAGATTGTTGATGATGCAGGATGGGGGCTAAGAAGAAGTTACAGAAGGATAAAAAGATCTGAGAGTCTTTTGTGCAGAGATGATAAACGAGAATGAGAGTTGATCAGGCTTCAGACAGAGAATATAAAGAAAAAAAGAGATGTCCTAGGACATAGTTTTGGTGTATATATCTAGAGTTAGTGGGCATGAAATGGATGATGAACCAGAAGAAACAGATTGAGAGGTAGGAAGATAACCAAGAGAGTAATGTTATGAAAATCCAGAGAAGACAAGGTGGTCGACAATATCAGGGGCAACAGAGAGGTCAAGAAAGATAAGGGCAGAGAAAAGGCCATGAGATCTGGCAACTGAGAGATCACTGATAACTGTAAGTTTTCCTGAGACAGAAGAGTAATAGGGTAACTGTTGGAAATGACAGAATATTTAGTAAAGGTTTTCTAAGATAAGGAGGACTTGCATATATTTTTAATCAGGAATGAAAGACCCAGAATAAAGGGAAAATTGAAGACTGGTGAGAGAGCAGGGAAATGACTGTGAGGACAATGGATTCAAGGGGACATGCAGAAGCCTGGCCCTGGGGAGAACAACCTCCTCAGCAAAGTTAAGGAGAAAATAGTGGATGAGGAAGTTGTGAGTTGAAGACTCAGGGAAAAAGAAGAAGCTTAAAATAAATGAACTCAATTCTAGGTAAAGTATGAGGTTAGGTTTTCCACTGAAAACATGGTAGGGAGGGTATCAGGAGGTTCTAGGGCAAACTTGAGAAGGGCAGGAAAAGCTACATTGGTAAAAAGGATAGCAAATCAATTAAGGTGGAATAAGAGGCTTTGCTGCAGGGAAAGCCCAACTGAGATAAGATAAATCTGTAGTAGAACTAATCAGCACAGTTGTATGACTTCTAGTTTCAGAGACACAGGAGATCTGTATTCTGCTACATGGTTAAAGGCAGGCAATTTCCTATTCATAACAATGTATTATAGATGACTGAGGAAGGCCTTCATAACTGAAACATTGCTGTACCAATTGTGCCCTTTTGGCTACTTTGTCTTACAAACAAATCTGTGTGACCCAGAATTATTTGCAAACAAAATGGAATCTATTAAACTCCTTCAATCTAAGAAGCTGTTTCCTACATTTAATTTACATTACTTTCGTTTAATTATTGAAAAAAATAATCTGGTTTAAATATGAACTCTTATTTATATACAGGTTAAATGACTGTAATAGCCATAATTCTGAAAAGTTGCTTTGAGTTTTTATACAGTAAACCCAATTTTCTACAGTAACATTGACTATCATTGTAAAATACATTTCTTTGTAAAATTGTTACCCTAAGATACTATCTTACAAAATTATATTTTAAAGATTATTAATATTAATAAAAATGAATATAATAGATGGAATCCTTTTTATATTTAATACAATGGCTTTAAAATCTAAAGAAAAACAATAGTTTGGATGAATTGTACATAATTAACTAAAAGAACACTCAGTTTCTACCAAACTTCCTTATCTAGTAATCAGTCAAATATTTGCTGAAAGCCAAATTAACACTGAAGGGGGAAAAAAATTTAAGAGGGGATCTCTGAAGTCTAATAGTTTACAATCTAAGTAGGAATACAAATACTACAAGGAAACAATCATTTATTTCCTACACTGTTAGTTAATATAGCAAATGAATACTCCGAATTCAGAGAAAGAAGAGATGGATGTGGTCATCCATGTCTGGGGAAATGACATTATGGATGGTGTGGAACCAAATCTGGATCTTCAACCATAAGTACAGGTTAGAAAGGCAGAGGAAAGATGGAAGGGTACAGCCTGATTTGGAGTCAGGAGTCAGGCTTAAATGGAATGGCAGGTAAGCAAATATCAGGCACTTAAGAAATGCTTTAACTTTTTTCCTGTTGTGGGAGACAGACCTGCATAGGTAAGGTGGTAGAAATCATTAAAATTTAAAAATCATTAAATCACTGAATGAAGAATTTAAATTTTTACCATGAACATAAAATCATACAATCAGAAAAACATTCTAGTAAAAGCAGAAATGAGTATGGTGATCTGAAGATATCAGCATAATGTATTGGAGGCAGCATAGTGAAGTCCAAAGACCTGATTCTAGTCACAGGTGTGCCATTAACTTACTATGTGATCGTGAGCAAGAAATTTTTCTTCCTCCATTTTCTTCATTTGCATAATGATGGCATTAGAATAGAAAGCATTAACATTCCCTAAGATTTTTTTAAAAGGTAGAAACTAAACAATATAACAAAGAAACTGATTTCCAATCCATGATTTAGTTTGGTTTGGGGTACTCCATTCATCTA